GCCTCTCCTGTCATCCTGTCCTGTGTTCAGCAGCCTGTAGTTCAGACAGAGTTTTTGTCACTCATGGCTTCCCAGCTGTGCTGAGGAGCTCAGCATTTCCTGTTTTGATGAGACTTCACACTTTGGGTTACTTTTCCTGACGGAGGTGTTTGTCACACATGATGTGTGACAAACACCAACGGAAGGTTGAAAATCCAATGAAAAAGTTTATTGGTTTATGGTTTATACAACGGTATAAACTTAAGGTCATATCGCCCACCCTGAATACACTAACTAATGCTTCACTGCAGCTGCTATCTGCAAGAAGAACTGATGCATGATCTGTGATGCAGATGTTTGTGCTGCTGCCAATAATGACATGCCCAGTATATCATCTGCATGATGGCATTTGATCGATGTTGTATCTTAATGGCTACTCTTTCATTTCAACCACGTCTACTCACACAGACTCCGGTGGTATCCCTTTGTATACTGGCGACCGTGATGGTCATCAATATGTGCATAGAACTCCATTGACATTGTGTCTTTCAGAGACAGACGCACAATAAAAGATGGGAACATGGACATCCGCATTCATGTGTGCAAAACCACATTGTTTGTAAGACGTCATGGGAATCTTGGGGAATTTCACAATTACATTTGGATTTTTTGTAGTCGTGGTTGGATTCGGAATCTATTCAAGACCATTTCTCTATTGAATAACTTGAGAGGGCGTCACTATTTTCAGGCCCTTCCACCACTGAAATACAATGTAAAACATAACTGTCTAACAGAACAGGGAGATACAGAGAAATGTGTGTGGGTGTATGCAGCTTCAACTGCATTCATACGGGCATTATTCACAGTCCTCTGCTTGATAACGTTATTAACGACAAACAGAAATCCATGTTTGGCGTTTGTGAATTGATTCAGAATCGTCGGAGGATAAGACGTGCTTATGTGACGTCACACGAACTTCATGTCTTTTTCAAGCCACCTACGACTAACTGTAGCTACTAAAGCATTTCCTGTCTTTCTTTCTGTCGTACACTTATTACTTATAAAAAATAAGAACATGAAGAGTCTGCATTTAAACGTGAATATTAATGCAATTTGAAAATCAACCCTCTTAGTATGTCTCTTGGGTGCTATAGTTGCAAGTTGCACTTAAATGATTGAAAGCACGTTTTTCTTTTTCCATAAATGCTTTCATTGTCACGATCAGGCTTTGCCTTCTGTGTTCTGTGTGTGTCTTTGTGTAGCTCCACATCCTCCTCACTCTACCTGTGAGCCACTCCCTCAGCACCAGCCTAACTCCCTTCACCTGCCTCTGATCACTAATCAAGCACTCCCTCATCAGCACAACTCTCCTCACCTGTTTAAAGAGCCACTATAAAAGAGAGCCACTATATAAACCCCTGCCTCTCAGTCACTCTTTGCCAGATCATTGCCATGTCTACCCGCCTGTTTGGCTTGTCCTGTTCCCGGTTTCCCCGTCTGCTTCGTCCTGCTGGATTTCCCCCCCTCGCCTCTTGTCTCGTCCGTGGATTCCCTGTTGTGTTTCTGTAAGTTTCCTGTTCTGATCTCATCATTCATTAAACACCCACTTCACTCTACTGCTGGTCTTGTCTGCACTTGAGTCCTCCACCACACCCCGTGACATTCATGTCTATTATGTCCTTTTTTGTCTCTTTCTTTTATTCTCCTTGGACTTGTATGCAGTCAAATTTTTCATAAAATGAGTCTTCCTTGGCAAACATAATTTTCATAGCACTATACATCTTTGTAGTGACTTTTTTTCTGCAACAACAAGGTTCTCATATCAAAGAGGGCATATTTCTTTTCAATTGTAAATGGGAATCTACTTTTATTGTGAGACATTGCACAAAGGGGAACTTAGCCCACGCCTTTGACCCATCCTGGTAATGGCAGCAGTGGACAGTCATGTTAGAGCGCCCGGGGAGCAGTTTGGGGGACCGGTGTGTTGCTCAAGGGCTTCCCGGCAGTGGAGTCAAACTTGCACCTCTCCAGCTACCAGTCCATGCTCCATGAAGTCTCCACAGACTGAGCTACTGCTCAAATATGTACTGTATATTTGCATAAGTAACCCTTGTTCCTTTGATGTCTGCATATGGAGTGCCTGTTATTCTAAAGGCTGATCTTTTCGATGAGATGGTCTGCTTACACAGTCTCTTTGGACCAGCAGATGCTGGAGTCTGAGTGCTGCAGGGAAGCTTTGGAGTAACTGAGCAAAATGTCCATTAATTCTTTCACATTTCATCTCTCAGCTTCTAGGTCCCATTTAGGTTTTCATAGCATATGGAAACCATTTCCATAAATAGCACCCAGAAACTTGCCCATGGTGTATCATTCATGTTTTCTTAGAATTATTAACACATTGCCCTTTGTGAAATCACCACCATTTGCTCTCATTGCTGCAGTGCAATGGCAGCCATTTTTTCTTTAAACTACTTCAACTACAGTTTTTAAAAAACTGTAAACGAAATAAATAAAAAAAACGAAATTTTATGAGAGTCGTCATATACACATACATGAAAAGTAACTTCTGCATTTAACCCATCCCTAGCTCATTGGGAGCAGTGGGCTGCTGAGAAGCGCCCGGAGAGCAGTTAGGGGTTCAGTGTCTTGCTCAGGGACACTTCGGCACAGAGGCTCGTAGCAGTCTGTAACGTCTGTATTTTTCAACCTGGACCCTATTTTCCCATATTTTTGTGTTTAAGTGACTAATGGGGACAACAATTTGCTAAATTGGTATAAAGGTAAAGAAAAAGGTTTTATTTCGCTTTAGGGTTCTTTCCATAATGTTGCCAGACACGTGGTAAAAACAAGCACTTTCACTGTACGTACATTGACGAGTTGCCGAGAGATAACATTGCTGCCAGTTGAGCGGCATTAATATATAAAATTAATTATCTTAGGATTTTGAGTAAAGAACATTTTTTTCTTTTTTTTTAGAGTTATTCAACTCAAATCGTGTAATCGCATGTTTTTTTTTTTTAACCTGCATAACACTCCATGCCATCCTCGGTGCTTTAATCCTCTCCTGGTTGACCTGTTCTCTCTTTAAGCCCATTAGTAGGGCTTACAAGGACATGGAGGGCTCCTCCTGATCATCTTGAAATTTATAATATACTAAATTATATTAAAGCGTCTCAAATACATTTTGCAGCCTTTTTCAAGACCAAAACGCTGATAAGAATAAGTACAAGTTATATTGATAGTTGTAGCTGACAATAACCCGATCTCATCCGGAAGTGCACAGAACAAATCCTGAACAGACAGCCGGATCAAGAGTCAAATACATTACCTTTATGAACAATCTCCGTTATTGAAATTAGTTTTTTGCCCAGTTGAACCTAAAGATGCATTCATTCAACTGATTGATTTAGCTGTGTGTCCGTCTAACCCTTTGGTCCGGGAGCAAGTTGTCCTGACATCTACTGGCCGGATCACCATGACATTTAGTATGAATATTCATAGTTCCCAAATGATGTGTTGTGGTGACTGCTCTTAAGCACTACCACCAGGTAAATGTTCTCACTGGACCAACACTTATGTCAATTATGATTTCAATCTGATGACCCCTAGAGGATGGATCCTCAACTGGTTTGGAGACAAGTGACCTTTCCCATTTTGCCACCAGTAAGCTATAAATCGAGCCAAATTTTCCTCTGTTTCAACAATGTTTGCAAAAAAACCAGCAGTGCCCAGGAATCTATATCGATATTTAGTCCAAGACTTCCTTTTCCGTGTGCTGCTGCTGTTTACATCCTAATTAGCATCTTGAGACGCAACACTGAAGTTGGAGTTAAGAGACGATGCATACAACTGGATTGTTCCACACGTAGCGAGTTTACAAGCTAATTTTAAACCAATAAAAACCTAACTCTTTGGCTCTGCACATGGACTGTTTACCTGCTTTCAACCAAAGCCTGTTCCAACGTGATTGGTCAACACTACTCGGACTACAAACAAAAACTTTCTGTTGCCAAAATCTTGTCCTGTTGCAAAGGAATGCAGAATCAGTTGAAAGATATTACAGATTCCACGATTCCAAGAATACATTTGGCTCATCACATCATTGGCTCATGATTATGCAAACTTGCCTCGAGAGGTTTTTGATGTTTATCCCTTTAATGCCGCTTGGGCTCAGCATGCCACATGGCCCTCGGCATGTCCAGCTTTCTAGGAAGATGGTCCGCATCTGATACAACAATCAGGGAGTCACTTGGGTTCTCTGCAGTAAGGAGGACACTGGAGCCTTGGGCTGAACACATAAATCTTTGTTGTGTCGGAAGGTTATTCCCAAGGTAAAGTCCCATGAAAATACCACAGCATTCACACCTTAAGACAGGACTGTAACAGTCTGTGGAAGCTTTACAAGAATCACTAGTATTGCCTTGTATTGGTTTGTGTTGTCTTTTGTTGGGGATGTTGTACCAATAGCTGTCACATGTATTCTTGCTTTTAACCTTTGAATACACTGGGAAAGAGAGAAAGGGGCTTTTGTCAACTGCACTCCAACACATTGATTTTTGGTTGGTGATATGGGAGGAGTGGGAGGGGAGTCCCAATTGATGAGGGATGGACTGCTATGAAGACTTGAGTATTAATGATTTACGAAATGGCTGACTTTGTCTCCAACGATTGGAAAAAAAAATAAAAAAATAGGCAGATTACTTAATTTGTAAAGACACAATTTTGCATCTGGCTTAAATACATGTTTGTAGTTCTGTAAGGGCTAGGCATAGTTACATTTAAGACACAATGATACAAATCTTATTCATTCTTTAGTAACAGTCTTGATCTGTGTTGTGGAAACGGTTGTGTAGCTGGTGAGTGGTAGTGAATAATCATTTAATCTTATCTAATTCTGATCCTTTCTCTGTCTTTCCCTTCCACTCTTTCTCCAACTCCATTTCCACCAACTCCCATCCTCCTTTCTAACCTTCCCATTTCTGTTTCACGCATGTCGTTCTTTTATCCCCCCCCCCCTTCAGTGACAGGAAAGCCCTTTTTTGTTGTATCTAGTTTCGCCCACCGCTGGTTGTTCGGCTGGGAGGGTTGTCGTTTCTACGGCTGGGCGGGCTTCTTCTTCGGTTGTGGGAGCCTCATCACTATGACCGTGGTCAGTCTGGACCGGTACCTCAAGATCTGCCATCTCAGATACGGTACGTCGGGATCTCTTATTACAGGGTCGCCTAAACATTTGAATTCTATGTACACACCCACCCTTTTTGATTTAAATACAAATTTGTATTTGTAGACCCAAACCCACGACTGGAATATTAATTCTTAGATATTGTATAATTGTTATACTCCCTATTCCCTAATAAAATAATTTGTAGTCACAAATTAGAATTCAATTATTCCTGGAACATCCTACAGCCCATGGGTGTCGCCTGAATCCCCTTTGAGTGGCCCTGGACATGAATTGTGTGTTGCAAATGTTACTCTTATGTTAAACAGGAATGGCGTACAGTGAATTGTATTTCCTTTTTTCTTAGTCCTCATAGCCTTAACCACTAACTTTTAGTGATTTAAAGCCGAGTGTTCCTTTACATTCAACATTTGGGAAGATCATAGTAAGCTAGCAGGGTGGGCTAAAGTGTTTCCACTCGGAAAGTGGAAGCAACTTAGCTTAGCTTGCTAACATGAGCATTGATTAACAGCAGAGCTTACTTTCCGTGCATGTTATGTCAACAGCTGCTGAGATTTTCATGCGTCCCACGTTGTGTGACTATTGGTATTGAAATTATATTTTGCTAATTGCAATCACTTAAAATTTTAATTTTAATTTCAGTTTGACTATCGTTTGAGTTTGCTGAAATAGTTTATAGTTCAGGGACACAACATTCTCATGCAGCTGCACTCAAGAAAGCAACAGAAAGCAGGCACACACAACTCAAACCACTCCAGGGTCAGTTTCCTTTAAAGTGTCTTTCAAAAACGTCAGAAATGGTTTGCACTTTGTCAACCAGCCTAATTGAAACTGAGCAAACGCTGTTTTTAACAGATGTAATTTGAGTTTTCCAATTAAGTCTCTAACATCTCTCACCACTTGTCCATCGTCTTTTTCTTCACTCTTAGGCACGTGGCTGAAACGCCACCACGCCTTTCTGTGCCTGGCCTTTGTGTGGGTGTATGCAGCTTTCTGGGCCACCATGCCCTTGGTCGGCTGGGGAAACTACGCCCCGGAGCCCTTCGGGACCTCCTGCACGTTGGACTGGTGGCTGGCACAGGCCTCCGTGTCCGGCCAGTGCTTCGTCATGGCCATCCTGTTCTTCTGTCTCATCCTCCCCGCGGGCATCATCGTCTTCTCCTATGTCATGATTATTTTCAAGGTCAAGTCGTCTGCAAAGGAGATTTCAAGCTTTGACGCCCGCATCACAAACACCCACAACCTAGAGATGAAACTCACAAAGGTGGGTGAGAGGTTGGAGGGAAGGTGCTGGTAAAGGAAAAGAGCTGGACAAAGAGAAAAGAAGACATTTTTGCATACTCATAGAGGAATTTGTGCGAAGTACAAATAAGTGATCTGATTATTGCTTTGTGTCCCCTCACAGGTGGCAATGCTGATCTGTGCAGGCTTCTTGATAGCCTGGATCCCTTATGCAGTGGTGTCAGTGGTGTCGGCGTTTGGTGATCCAGACTCCGTGCCCATCCCCGTGTCTGTCATTCCCACGCTGCTGGCCAAGTCCTCGGCTATGTACAACCCCATCATCTACCAGGTGCTGGACCTGAAAAATTCCTGCACGAAATCCTCCTGCTTTAAGGGCCTGAAGAAACGTAGGCATTTTAGAAAGTCAAGGTAAATAGAGTGTGTTTTACTCTACAGTCTTTATTCCTGTGACGCTGTTGGTACATATTCATTCAAGTGTGCATCGCGGCCAATATAACCTGAATCTTCTTACTGTTTTTCTGCTATAATTGGCTAATTTGCTATAATATATTCTCTGCTAATTAGTAGAACTGCTGTAACTGAAAGGTTGATCCCATTATATTACTGTAATACAGACAGTTTAAGGTTGGTGCATAAGAGAGTCCACAGCACGTAAACGCACAAGCACACACAAGCTAAACATCTCAGCATCCTGCAGGTATTTTTCCCAGGAAATGGGAACAGATTTTGTGGAAAATTACCAGGAAACATTCAACCTTAATTGCAGCTGAAACACCACCTAATAAGCTCATTATGACGAGCAAGCTACGGTTATTTGTTTCTAGGGGTGTAACAATACACGTATTCGTATTAAACCGTTCGGTACGAGGCTTACGAACCGAACAATACGTTTGAATAATACTAGTCCATTTGGAAAATGCAGAAGCTTAAATTGTGGGAAATATGTTTTCGGTGGACTGCTCTCACGTAGCAGACAACGGGCTGTGACCTCTGAACCCGGAACAAAAAAACCCAAAACAAAAGACAGCTGAGGCACCGCACTTCTGGGAGGCTACGCTAAACTAGCTTTAACAACCAATAACTCTCCGCATGACGGTATGCTTTGTAATTAATGGACAATGCATATAGTCCAAATCTATATAATTAACACAATGACAACAAACTCACAAGAACCAGTCACATATATTTATAAGACAACAAAGCAACAAATCAATCCAGCAACACTGCAGCGCAACACGCATCCTGCTACACACTCGAGGGCCATTCAGATATTAGATGTAAAAAAACAAATGCAGTTGACTTACCAAATGCTGTTCTTTAAAGACAAACTCCATCCTCCTTTCTTTGTTGACAAAGAGTTTAATCCCACGGTTAAATCCCAAATCTGCTCCTCCTTTCAGCCAGTGAGTGTTAAAAAAACAAAGCTAGGTTAAAAAAAAAATAAATCTGCACCAAGCAAAAAATGTCATAATTCTTACTACTCCGACTAAGCATTGCTGGCTACTTTAAGTTTTGTTTCACGATAGTCACGTGCTCGCCCACTGACCAATCCCAGCACACGCTGCACCTCACTGCAGTGCTGCACCTGAAAACTCAGCTGCCCGTTAATGCTGACGTACATGTAGGCCAGCTAGCAGGCTCTGGCACATCAAAGAATACGCCTAGAGGTCACAGCAGTTCACTTTATACAGTGAGGTCAAGTTTTTAAAATGGTCTTACTACAATTAAATGGCTATTATGGGGAATAACATGACCACACAGGAATACAATTTGGCTCATTGGATCCACCAGAATCTAAGCTTTCCAATCGAAACCCAATTCATGCAAGTCCAAGAATGTTTGGGGACCCCAGTATACAGAGAGCATTGTTTGAATAGGTGAAAATAACACATTTCCACTGCATGCAAAAAACGGCATCGTTTTTGCCTAAAACTGCATAGGATTATCATAGTGGGCAGGTCCGTAAAGGGGAGACTCGTAGGGACTCATAGAACCCATTTTCATTCACATATCTTGAGGTGAGAGGTCAATGGACCCCTCAGAAAATCTTCATATCAGTTTTCCCTCGCCAAAGTTTGTCTTTGCCCACGTTTGGAATGTTATTCTGAGGCATCGGCAGCCTACAAAAGACAGGACGTCGGCACAATTTGCATGGCTTTTTGTCTTACTGACGTTCTTGTTTCTATGTCCCTGCAGGCCCTACACCATCTCTGGCACCTTAAAGGACAATACATCAGCCAAAGAAGCTCACATCGAGATGTGAGACAGACATTTTAGACTGCGTGACCCTATTACATCTCCTGCTTTGGACGGTTTGCCTTGTCCCCTGCCCCTCTTGTGCCCTACACTCGCCCAATCACACGCTGCCTGTCACCCGCTATATCAACAACAGCTCACCTTTGTTTCCCAGTGAGTCCTGAGTCTTGCTGCTTGTTTTAACACCCACGCTGGATCCCCTGTGTGACATGGCTCCCACAGCTCCCCCACTCCCCCTTCTCCGGAAACACATCTTCCCCACAAGGTTGTGCTTAATCTGTGGAGTTGTGTTGTCTTTACAGTGGTTACAACATACAATTGGCATGTTGTGTGAGCTTCTTGACTTTATTTTCAGTATTACAGACAACAATGTCTGTGAAAATCACTCATGTTGCTGACTGACTTACTACAGCGTTGTTCTCATAATACAGCTCGACTGAGATTTGAAAAGGTTTCCAACCAAAGTCGAGTCACATCTAGAGCTATAACTTTTCATGAATCTAATTCTTACAAAAGTGTGAAATTGCTACGAGAAGTTAAATATATTTCCGTCAATGTTTCTAAACCCAAACTGCAGGAAAGAAAATAAATCAACCTGACAATAGTCATGTCAAAACAGGTTTGGGTGTAACTGTCAAGCTCAAAGTTGTATTTTTACTGTTTGTACAGGCTGTTGTCTTTTGTACTCCTTCACCTGTGTCTTGTTAATATATCTCAAAAAGCTCTCAGCAACAGTTAAACTACACACAAGGAGACGTTGCTTGATGCTAATCAGTGGAACCGAGACCTATACAGTGCACTTTACTTGCAAAGTCTGTCAGTATGCATTGATACCAGTTTGTTTCTTTGAATGTATGGAATGTCATTCTCTAAGGAACAACTGTGGATGATTCAGGGACCGTTTTCTTTCATCTATTTATTGTTGGTTTGTTGAGCCAGAAATAACTGCATCTTTTCCATGAAATTGTTTGACATGTTGGTACATGCTTATTCGCTTTCTTGCCTAGTTGGATAAGAAGATTGATACCACTCCCGTGTGCCTGTGTGTTAAGTATGATGCTGGAGAGAGGGGGCAATTAGCTTATCTTAGCATAAAGTCTGAAAACCGGGGGAAACGTCAAGCCGTGTCAAAAGCTAACAAATAATATATTATAATATAACAATATACAAAATGTAAAGCTCACAAATCAACATGTATCTTGATTTTTTTTTTAATACATTCCTAAAAGTAAAGTTTTATGGAGAGTTGCCTGCTGCAACTAGTAGCTAACCATTTTTCCTTGCTACCAGTTTCTATGCTATGCTAACCACCTGCTGCTTTCAGCTCCGAACTTGGAGCACAATGGAGGTATATGAGAGTGATGACTTTCAACAGACTGCTACGACCTACAATGTAACAGTTTACATGCTAATCTGCTAGCATGCCTACTGCAAACTGGCCACTGTTCATTGTTAATTGTTCTAAAAGTCCGATACTCGGCGGCGTCTTGACGCTCGTTAATTCTCCAGAAAGGGCGGGTCCCCAATTTCCACCCACTTGCGTTTGCAACTTTGCTCCGTCGTAATACAACTGTAATGCCCAAAGTTTAAGTCCGTTTGTCTGTGGACAGATTTTGTTACTGTGATAGCGTCGCAACCATGCAAGATAAAGTCATGAAAGTGTGCTGGTGTGTAGTTGAGATCTACATCAAAGACATCAAAACTCCAAAGATGGACATGGTCCGAGCAAGGGGGGACAGAAGTTGGGGGGTAGTAAGTGGGGGAGGGGCCATTGAAATCTCAATATGTCATTGAGGTAAAAGTGGTAAAAGAATAATGAAAAGCAGCAGCTTTACTTTGTTTCTCCTTTTGCTGGACCGACTCTTACTAGTTTTGCAAGGATAGTTGTGTCATGTGCTTCTTCAATGTTATGTTAAGCGTCACCTTCGACAGTGCAAGTAAACAAGCTAGCTAGGCTAGCTACAGAAATGTGGCCTGCATGATCCTTGCTTTGTGGGTAGCAGCGATCAGTTGAGAGTCTGCCACAGATCTTCTCATCTAACTTCTGGCAGGAAAGTGAATGTGTGTTTTCCAATGTTTTAGAATGAACATTTACTTAGTTAAACATTTTGACTTTTGCACACACCTGGGGTCTCATTTATAAAAATGTTCTTTAGATTCATGTTTAATGTTCATGTATGCACAATTCTGGAATGAAGACAAGCAATACAAAAAACAAATGGACTCCTCTTATTGAAAATTGTGCTCATCCGTCTCGCACACCTTCACTCCATGAATCATAAATTAGTGCAAATTTAAAAGGTGCTCGATCGAACTTTTCAAAATGTCATCCGGCAGGTGGGAGGGAGGAAGTTGGTAAATAGGGATGATTGTCTGCTGACACGCGGGGAAGCTCTCGAGTGTAGAGAGAGTTCAACAGCAGGGTCAGCTGCAATCAAGGGGGAGTGTGACAAATCCTGTCTGGAGTCAAAAAGAAAGCCTGCAGCATCTGGGTGAAACAAATGTCACTGCTCCTGTGTCCAAGTGGAGTCAAACAGCGACTAAGACGTAGCACTTGTTAAAAGAGCTTTCAGTGATGTGCCCCATGAAATTTCCTCAAATTTGGCTCAGGTTCATCGGTGTTAATATTTGTGTGGAGACATTTCTGGGTGTGATAATCATGCCCTGAGATACTTCAGCACGTTCAGTTCAAATGTCAAGTGAAGACCCGAGGGCCCATGAATGTTTTCCTCCACAACTTCCATGACACATGTTTCTTCAGTTAACATTGGTAGGATCAGATTCTAGATGAAGCCCCAGAACTTTGGGCTTTATGTTCGTATTATTATTATGTTCAATCACTGTGTTTGTTTTTCACGTCTTGTGCAAAACATTAAAAAAATTCTTCCTTTTAACAATACCCGCACCTGGCAAGTACAGTACGTTTAAGGTTAGGGAAGGATCGTGGTGATAATAAACCATAGTTAAGATGTGGTTAGAGTTCAGGCAACGGTATACCGCTTGACGAATGGTCAAACTATTTTTTTATATATTTTTTTTTATTTCTATACATATATAAATATATATATATATGTATAACCTATAGTAGCTTCAAGATGTGATTATTATTCATTTTAAAGAATAATTTTTTGTCCTATCAGTCAAAAATAAAGGTATATGAGTGATATGGGACAGCATGGAAAGAAAATAAAATCTACCACAAGACGACACAGAATTTACTCCTACCTCAAATATGGTATTGGACAATGTCAAAGCTACAATAATGCATGGTAGCAAAGTGCAAATGATACCCTCTATTTAATTCAAATTGTTCTAGTCCAGTTCCAAATGTCTGAGCGTAGTTGATAGTTAATATAGTAGATATTTGTCTGATTCTCACAGTCAGTGCAGGTTATTCTAGGATACTTCCGTTGAACACGTTTGCCAATGAACCCCTCCATTATAATACTACAGCAACACGCTTGAGAACCAACACCGACATCTTTTAAAAGACAATGACCACAAAATTTGTCTTATTTTCTGGCAATACGAGACCTTTTCTGGTGAAGCGACGCTCCATTTTGCTATCCTAAACTTGCATGCCTCTGTCTTGCCGAGCCTTTTGTAAACCTCTCACATGGAGCCCCTTTTGTTTCCCTCCATGTGTCAGCACTCACCACCGTGCAGACGCCTAAGAGTGTTTGGACATGTCCTAAACACCTGACTGGCCTCTATTATGCCTGCAAGCAGAGTAAGTCAGACACTTTGTGGATTCTCCAGCAACCCTTTAGTGCCACTTATCCCGCAGGTCTAAATTTATCCAACAGACATACACGCCGTCTCTTTAGAAGTGACCGATTGTGTTGTACAATTTGCAAAACCCGCAGTCCACATTGACACATACCCAAATTCAATTGAGCTTTGCATCAGATGGCGGCGCTTTTTTTGAAGCGCTATCGCAAGTTAATCGATATTCCATGTTCACGTAGACAGATTTATAGCAATTATACAAAATATGCAGACCTGCTTTAGTTAGTTCTTATTTTTTTGAGTTTATATTGCTTCTCAGCATCAATAATTGTTAAAAGGAATATCATTGTATATTCTGTGGTCACCGTGGATCATCGATGTGCTTCGGACTGTTTTTTTTTTTTTATGAAGGAAATTATCAATCTTAAAAACATATTGTCCAAACATGCCACAACCGTTAGCCATGTTAGGAAAGACGTGTCTTTGCTGACTACTGCTGGATTCACTGTCAATTCATGAATCGAAACTAAGGTTTGGCACAAAACAAGCCATATTTCATGAGTGAAAAGTTAAATTTGGTGTGCCTACACAGACTGACCAATCATAGTCTAAGACAATATGTTCTGTCGATTCAGGATGAACGTATGTACGGAACTACGCCGATCAAAAACAGTTACATTACAAACACTTGCACAATGTGATGCAAACCAACACAGAATAATTTACACAAATGCATTCAAAAAGTAATATTTATTGTAGGGCTATGCTATTGGATCACATTACATTACATTGTACAGGTGTTCATGTTATTTTGGCCAATGGAAATTTCTGTTAAATCAAGCATGTCTCCGGGTAGATCCAGTCCTTAGTCCCCACGTTCTTTGCACATAATCTAATAATATTTCTTGTGTCTTTGGAACCCCTCGTGACTTGCTGCTTGCATCTAAATGCTTTATCAATAATTGGTGATGTGCTAATTGATTGAATATATATATTTTTAAGTATGTTGTTTTCTTTCTTGTGTCTTATTTTGGTGGGTCAAATGTCACGTGATTTGTCTGCAGGGTTGATGTGGGCGTAGAAGCAAAAAGGAAACTGACAGTTAGTTTCCCAGTCAGCGCACTGGACCTTGAATCAGGACTGATACAATACTGATACTAATCTTTATGCATATAGAAAGCACTGTAGCACAGGCTAGGGTGTGTTTGCTCTCAGTTCATACGTTGTACATAAAAAAACAAAAACAAACATTAATAATCATAATCATCAAATTTAAGCCTTAAAATTTCACAGCATACATATTTGTAATCCTGAACTGAGGGCGACGTGGCCTGGCCTGTTGTTAGATGATGAAGAAGACGACAATGATGCCCTTGTTTGGCATGAAACGGAATCTCAGGTATTGGTCAGTAGTTTTGGTTTGTTAGTCTGTTGGTAGATGAGTATGTCTGGAGTAACGTTTGTGCCAAAAAAATGTGCTGCACATAAATACTGTTTTCAGAGTTTATAATGTCAACTACTGTTGTCTTCCCATTTTTACTTAAATACTGTATTAGGCTACATTGTTTTGCCTTTGTATATCACTTCTGTTTGCTTTTTGTCAATCTCTTCACGTAACAATAATCGATGAACGCACTGACATATTAAATAGAATAAACTGTTTCACTTTATTCAAATGTGCTGCTGGATTTGCTGGTGATGTCATTTCTCCTCCTCTAGGTTGTTTGTACTTCGATGTTATCTGAGGGTGGTTGAGGTCACTTAAAACTCATACTGGAAATCACCTGAGAATCCCAAAATACTGTTCATTCATATGAATATGACCCCTTGGTATATTGTTCGTTTCCGTATACATTCTTCATTAAGAAAAAAAAATAGTCTTTTGTGTTTCTCATGAAAAGACCAAAACCGACAACGACAGTAACAGCATATCAGAGCCTGGTATTTCTTATTCTTCTGTGCCATAGAGCTCTATTGCTGTCCAACAACTAATCATCAGGGAGCCACACTGTAGCTGTGTGGGTGACATGTTCCTTCATTGCCACGAGTAGTTTATTTTTGAGTCAGTCCTGCTGCCTAAAATACTCACTTGAGCACCAAGCGTGTATTCAACCACAGCTGAAAATATTCACTAAAATGCAGCATCTCCTCTTGTTCGAGTAAGGTTTTCTAAAAACTACAGTGCCCAGCTGTTTCAGGAAAATACATTCAAAAATATGTAACTATGTTTTGCGACCTGTTATTAAAGATGTATGTCATCAGTCGGAAACAAATAGCCTGAGGCCTTAGGCAACAGGCAGGGTAGGGAAATTGGGAAGTATTGAAAGACTTGTTGGCTTTGGTCTCTTTATGGAATGTGTTGACACCAAGAAAAAATAGAATAACGGCAGAAATTTCTAGTGAAAAAGTTAGCTCTTTAGTGTTTGTAGGAAGACAGTCTACTGGGGCAAAGTTTGTTTTATTTATTTATTTTTTTTTTTTTTTAAAGTCAAGACAATAAACAATAACAAGCTAATGTTCAAAAGTAGATGGAAAACATCCAGACATGTTTGCCACTTGCACCTCATACTTGGTCCATCTGTAAATATTATGTTGTCTTACTTTTACAGTGGAAATATTTCTATGCCGATAGGATTTTTTCGTTTTGTTAGTCTCGCGTATATATTTCAGTGTTATTCCTTTCGGAAATTCATTGACCCTAATCTGTGGACAGTTTAAACTTGTACCACAGTCAGGTGGAAAATCCTTGAACTCTATCATGAATGATCCCCCAATTCATGCAGTATTGGCCAACAAAAGTTTGTGAAAATGTACAGATAATGTGCAAAATCCATGGATCAAGTCCATTGTAATATATGGAATACGACAATAGGAGAAAAATACTGTAAACTAGATAATGACTTACAAATAATTCACTGTTGTGCTTGTGATCCTGGGCTCAAGCCATATAAAATAGATGATTTAAATCCTGGATCTTAAAAGGAATAACATTCTACTCCCTTACAGAAAAGGGACAATTAATGATTTATTTATTTTTTCTATAGATATCTCCAGGTATGCAATCATTTTGAACATACAATTTGAAATACAACTTTGATAATCCAATATTGAGAATATTTTTCGGTGCCTACCAAAATTATTCAAATAAGGGTGATATCTCTAGATTAGATAAAGGCCGAATGAGAAACAGAAGACAATCCCAAACATGAGAGAAAAAGCTCTCTCTCTCTATCAAATGAGGACTTGACTGGATGTATGCAAATTTCAGTGGCAATGCGCCAGTTCTCACATGTGGCAGAAGTTTGATGAAGTGTTTCATTCCTTTCTTCATGACACCAAAGCAGAAAGCACATTTTGCTGGAAGGGGAGACGATTGTTGGAGAGAGTGCCGGTTTCGGAAAGCAAATCACTGGCATATATTTTGTGAGTGATACGACCTCTCTGGACAGAGTTTCACGAAGCAATAAAAAGCATACTTACCCCGGA